GACACCCTGTCCTGCACGGAGCCAGTGGGGACACTTAGATCCGCAGGGTGCCAGGCTCTTTATCACCCTGGGACAGGCCCTGAGCTCCTGGCACACACCAGTGTGCACTGTTGGTGAGGCTGCACCTGCCAATGCTATTCTTCTCAGGACCAAACAGGAGCCTAGCGTGGGATGGCATTGAAAAAAGCTCATTTCCCAGGACGTGACTTCAATACATCGCTGCTTTGCTTTTGCTTTACACCAGCCGACCAAGGCCACCTCACAGTTCCAGGGTCCAGCTGTAGCCTGTTAAAGTAGATGCAGACCTCTCTCTGCTGGGCAAACTCCCAAAAAGGGTACCAGCTCCCCCATTTGCCAGAGATCCAGAAATGTAATGGACTTTTCTTCTTTACTCCTGCCCTGGCTGAGTCCTGCATGCACAAGGTTGCAGTGTGAGCCAGAGTCAGGCAGATTGGGGTGTTAATATAGCATGGGGAGAAAGAATAGGGTAGAAGAGCCTTACCTGAGAAGCCCTAGGTCTTTATCCCCTGGGTAGGGCTATGCGCTCCCTCCTTTTCCTTCTCCCTGCTCTTCCGTCTCAGCTAATCTTGTCCCGCTCTGACTGTAACTCAGCTTCCTAAAGACATTCGGGGAAACCTATAGTGTATGTTACGCTAATTTTTTATTTGACACGAGAAAACTCACATTGAGATGAATGTCTGGGTGACAGGAAAAGCCTCAGCTGGAGCTCACACCTTACTAGACATCAGAGAAGCCACCTGATTGCCTCAGTGCTGCTGCTCCCCGCAGCCCTGCCCTCTCACTTGTTTTCCTTTGCTCTCCCTCTTGCTCCCACCTCTCTCCTCTGAGCACCTGCTGATTTTTCCATGCCTGTCTCACTCCCTGGCCCCAGCTCCAAGTTTCCAGATGCACTTTCTGCTTTGCTAAGATGTCACAGTGCACAGCTATTGCCTGGAGAAAGTTTCACACTGAAGCCAGGGGGATATCTCCACATCTGCCAGGTGGAGAACTGAGAAATCCCACAAAAACCTTCCCTCCAGTGCCTCAAACCACTTGCAGACAGGGTATTAATGCAGATGAACTCAACACCAACAGAAGCCCAGACATTACTTGCACAGATGAAATTTCAGATGGAGGATGGGGATGAAGTAACAGGACCAAGGCTGCATGGGAAAGCAGTAGCAAAGACTGATAATGGAGGTCTGGGTCTTTCCATATGAGAGCTGGAAAGACCATTCCAGTGGTCTTTGGAAAGATCACCTGGCACCTGGGGAAGAAATTAAAGGACTATCTTGGTTGTTATGCAAGATACATATCATTAGGCACCTTTTTTAATCCTTGTCTTGGCCGTTCAGAGAGTTAATATTCTGTTTACAGCAGGAATTGCCTCTTAGCTTGTAAAACACCTTGCACAGCCCCATGCCTGCACAAAATAAACAACATGCTTTTCTTGGGTAGCTTCACAGGGTCCTTTTAACTGAGCTGTCTGCATGAGTGATAGGGTCCCTGCTGCAGAGGACTCAGGAATCACAGACTAAGTGTGAGAACCTAGATCACTTTTACCACCTTTCTCCTGCTCTGAGACTCACCTGTGAGCCTCCGGCTGGAGCTCACCCATGATGAAGAGACAACTCTTAGGCTACCAGGTAGGTATGGAGGTGAAGGGGCTCTTGCAGAGCTTGCTGGGGCCATTGGAGATGTCCTGGCCCCCTGCAGTACAGTTGTTTCCTGGGCTGGAGTTCGCAGGAGACAGCATCCCACTTCTCACCTGGGTTTTTGACTGAAGTCCCTGATGTACATGTCCAGGATGCAGACTGGAATGCAGGTCCTTTTCTCTCCAACTGAATAACCTCTGCTGTGGGGGAGCTGTGGCGCCCATTTCCTAGTGGTTTTGGTAGCTGTTACGTGAAACCATGGTTGCTCATGGGGCTCACAGCCTCCCTCCACCCCCTGGAGAGACTGAAGTTGGTGGCATGGCCCCCAGACCCACTCCCCTAAGCAAAGGAAGTGTTGCCAGTGGCTTCTGCAATGGCTTCGTGGTGGAAGCACATGTGACTGCAGCCAGGTGATTTCTGCCCCATCCATTTATCACAGGCATGGCAAGGAACAAAATTCAGCAAATATTTGTGTAGCATGAATAAAAAAGGCTATGGTGTCCAGTGCAGAGGAAGCACAGCTTACAGGCTCTTTGTTATGTTCACCCTGGGCTTGGCCACGTGTTGCTATTGGCCATAAAAATATCCATTTCCTTTCTAAATTGAGCTACAATACTTGACTTTTTGGCCTTGGGTGATAATGCAATGCACAAGTGGTTAGCAGAAACCCTGTAACTCTTCTTCCTGTTTTTTTCCAGCACAAATGATCCACAGTTTTCAGTTCAATAAAATATTTATAGCCAAGGTGTCATATATCTTTCGTCGGTATTTATTTCCATTGTGTCATCTTATTAATAGAAATCTCCTAGTTCTGCATGGAGTTCCTGGTAAATGTGAAAGACCAAGCTGGAGTTCAAGCAGGGGGAAAGACTGTTTCTTCAAATCCAGTGAAATTATTGAATAAATGAGTAATAAATGCTTCTTGTTTAAAATGGGTTTTGTATAGCTGTAACACATACAACTTGTCCCTTGAAACCATGCAACAAGTGGACCAAGCCTGTTCCATCTTAAATTAGAGCTAGGACCTACTAGCACTGGGTTCACGGGGCACAGGAACCAGGTTGTGAAGATGGAGATGGGTGGATGAGGTTTGCAGACAATTTGATGGAGATCTGTCCAACTGTGTCCAAGCCCTGGCCACATGGCTGCTCCCTAGCTCTTCATGCTGAATTGGAGAATGACTTCTGATTGCTCACAGAAATTCTTGGGGGGAAACTTCATCTTCGTCCATGAGGACCAAAGCTGCCCATGGGTCTGCTGTGGAAAGCAGTTGCAGATCAGATGTGTTATGCGTGGGATAAGAAAAGAGCTGTGAGACACCAGAGGTTGATTCACCTCCATGTTTGGACACTTTGGGGGGCGGGGGGGGAAGCCCACCTCCTGAACACAGGTGTCTAATGCTCTTTTCCACACGCTGAGGTTTCCCATCCAGCTCCAGCTGCAGTCCTAGAGGGGTGCAGGTAGACCTTAGAAATAGACCCTTATCCACCAGCCCAGTGAAAACATCCTAGACACCCTAGGGCATCTCCACTAAATCTAGGATTTCTGGGGCTCTATTGTCTCACCCAGTTCCCTTTCTCCTGTGGCTGGGACACCTGTTTTGTGCTAGTAAAGCCTCCTTCCCTCCTGAGGATGCAGGGAATGACATTTCCAAGCTGTGCAAACCAGCCATCTCCAGAGACTTTGGCCTCCTGTGAATGCTAAACCAGTCCCTACATGCTCTTTCTCCCATTTGTGGGTCTGCAAAAAAGGGCTAAACAGCATTTGAAGCCAGGCAAAGTGCTGTTCACATTGACACAAGCAACGTTGTGCCAGGAACACCTGGGAAGCAATGCTGGCATCACGGTGGGGGATTTTGTCTCATCACAGGCAATGGGCAGGGGCATTATAGCACTGAAGATCAAGGCCTTGGACTGAATGTAGCTGCTGATAACCCAGTTGTCCCTACAGATTTGTTATGAATGTTCCCACTGCTTTTTTCCTTCTAGGCTCTCTTGCAGCAGTGGCATGCACAGGTAACTTTGTATCACGTCAGTGATGGTTAGGGATTTTTGCTGGCACACAGGGGTCATATCTGCTATTTCTTTCTTGTAGCATCCTTGTTACACTATGAAAAGCACCCTCTACAGAAGGACTCAAAATCTGGTTCATGGGGTAGAAAACAGCAGACCAAACACCCCAGAGAGATGCTGCTCAGTGTGATAACCTGAAGGAAAGCCCACCTGTGTCCCAGCCTGATGCTCACTCCTGTGGTCCTAACACCCCTTCAGTGTGCCATCTGTGCCTTATTTCTTCATCTTCCACTCCCCAACCCAGTGCAACTGCTGATCGGAGAGCACCCTGCAGCCTAATGTGGACATTCCCACTGGAGAAGCGGGTCAGAGACGCACCAGAGAGCAGGGAAAGGACATTTAACCCCTCCTGGTACCGGGTGTGGAGTGGGCCCTGCCGTGGGGCTGGCATGATGCACCGATGCTGCATCAGGAGCTTGTGCAGTAAAGGGCTCAGCAAAGCAGGGAGGATATTTTTGTTCATTTTTGAGGTATTTTAATATATATATTTTTTTTAATTCCCCCTGAGTGGCAATTTGCAGGGAAGGAGGGACATCTCGTGGCCACGCCACGAACGCCACTCCTGCCTCCGGGCTCCAAGGCTGCCTGTGCAGGCGATAAGTGGGGTGAACCCCGGGCATCCCCCCTTCCCGCCCCAGGTACCACCCCAGCATCACCCCAAGCTGCCCGAGGAGCCCCATGGCCTCTCCCCTTCTCCTCCATGGGCTGCGGGTGGGCACGGGAAGCACAGGGGCTTGTTCTCACCCTGACACCCGAATAAAGAAACGGGAAATGGTCACATTCAGTTCTTTATTATTGGCTTGGGACAGAGGGTGGCACCATCTGGAGAGATTGCTCCAGAGCTTGGGGGCCTGGCATGGCCCAAGGAGGTGCAGACAGGACACGTTCCCACCCCTGCCCATGGCATGAAGAGGGTTGTAGTATTGTTGGCAGTGGCATCGGAAGCAGGGGAGAGATTGTGCACCCCCCACACCACCACCCTGCCCATGGTCCCCTCTTCTTGGGGGTGCAGTTGCAGGGCTGAGGGGCTTTTCTTTCTCCGGGTGGGTCATGAAGGAGTCTGCTGTGCTTCATGGCAGAGGTGATGTCTGTGAAGTGGGTACAGACCTCCAAGGTGGATGGGGAAGGACCTGTGCCAGCTCTCAGTCACCTCTTTAGTCTCCATGATAACCACAGAGCTGGCAGCATCCACCTCCCTCATGTCCCTCCTCGTGCCCCATCTCCAGATGCATCGTGGTGGCTCGCAGGAGAAAGGAAAAGGCCTGAAATGAGCCATCGCCGGGCTGTGTGGGATGGTGGCTTTCCTCCAGATCTGTCCCTAGGCGCTGGTGGGACTGTGGCTTACTGCTGAGGCTCTGGTTCGTACTGCTTCTCTGTGGCAGTGTAAAAGTCCTCGAGGACCGACTGCAGGTACTCGAAGGTGGGGCGCTCCTCAGGCTTGTTTCGCCAGCATTTCAGGATGATGTTGTAGAGTTCCGCAGGGCACATGTCCGGGCAGGGCATGCGGTAGCCCCGCTCCAGGTTGCGAATCACCTCGGGGTTGGTCATCCCTGGAGGGAAACGCAGCCCAACAGGAGTTACTCAGCACCCTGGGGGGTGAAGCTCAGTGGCTCCCCGTAGCTCATACCCAGGCAGGGCTGGAGGGGCATGAGGGACCGTGAAGCTGGGACATAACTGGGCACCATCCCTTCAGGGTTGCTCTCCCCTCTCCATCCCTCTGCCCCCTCCCCAACTCCCCTCTATAGGTTTTTCCTAGCACAGGTATGACTGAGGCTCATCGGAGCCTAGGAGAGGAAACCCAGCATGAAGAAATGGGGGGCGTGTCTAGGCACACGTATGCATGCTTGGGTATGTGTCTCCAAGCATAAAGCAGCACTAGATGCTTTAAGCTGATGCATGCTCATCCTGTATACACAGCGCACTGTACCTGGGTAAGGGATCCTGCCGTAGGTTATGATTTCTGTCAGGAGGATCCCAAAAGACCACACGTCAGATTTGATGGTGAAAACTCCAAAGTTAATGGCCTCCGGCGCTGTCCATTTGATGGGGAATTTGGCGCCTGTCCAGAGAAAGCAAAGGGAAATAGTACATGGAGATACAGCATCTCCCTCAGGCACCAGCAAGCAGTTCCCCAAAAACTGAGCCCTGGGTCCTGCGGGCTGTTGGCTGCATCAGGGGCTGCGATGGGACTTACTGATGGTACTGTGGAGTTAATGGAGCTAATGGAGGGCAATGGAGCTGGGGAAGGGTCTGGAGCACAGGGCTGATGGGGAGCGGCTGAGGGAGCTGGGGTTGTTTAGTCTGGAGAAGAGGAGGCTGAGGGGAGACCT